CATCACAACTCTATAGTTCCTGTCTCCCTGCAGCATTTAAAGCCACAGACACCTGGGACAGGGCTTGTGGCAGGAAGCTAGACCTGGGAGCTACAACTCACTATGGGTATGTCTACACTACCCTCCTAATTCGAACTAGGAGGATAATGTAGGCATACCGCACTTACAAATGAAGCCCGGGATTTGAATTTCCCGGGCTTCATTGGCATGAAGCCGGCCGGCGCCATTTTTAAATGCCGGCAGTTCGAACCCCGTGCCGCGCGGCTACACACGGCACGGAGTAGCTAGTTCGGATTAGGCTTCCTAATCCGAACTAGCTACTCTGTGCCGCGTGTAGCCGCGCAGCACGGGGTTCGAACTAGCCGGGATTTTAAAATGGCGGCTCCCCGCTTCTGCAAATGAAGCCCGGGAAATTCAAATCCCGGGCTTCATTTGCAGAAGCGGGGAGCCGCCATTTTAAAATCCCGGCTAGTTCGAACCCCGTGCTGCGCGGCTACACGCGGCACAGAGTAGCTAGTTCGGATTAGGCTTCCTAATCCGAACTAGCTACTCTGTGCCGCGTGTAGCCGCGCAGCACGGGGTTCGAACTAGCCGGGATTTTAAAATGGCGGCTCCCCGCTTCTGCAAATGAAGCCCGGGAAATTCAAATCCGGGGCTTCATTTGTAAGTGCGGTATGCCTACATTACCCTCCTAGTTCGAATTAGGAGGGTAGTGTAGACATACCCTAAGTGGCTGCCAGTTCCACAGTTGTGGGCACCCATGTCCCAGCCACAAGCCCCCCAAGAGCTCACTGCCCCTCCCAGGGAGCATGTACAGGGCTTCCAGGAGCCTGCCATGGGCAGGAAAAGGCGTGCACCATCCTGGTCTAGAGCAGAGATCCTGGCTGTCTTCGAGGTGTGTGACAAGGAGGAGACCCTCCAGAATCTCCACTCCAGATGGTGCAATGCCAACATATATGGCCAGATGGCCAACAGCCTGGCCACGAAGGGCTACCAGCACAGTCTGGAGAGGTGTGGAGCAAGGTGAAAGCGCTCCAGCAGGGCTAGGCCAGAGAGCACAGCTCTTGCTCTGGGGCAGGATCCCACTCCTGCCCCTATTATGAAAAATTTCACTGCATCCTGGGGGGCATTGAAGCCCCTTCCCCGTTCCTGGTCATGAACTCAGGGCTGGAGATGCCCATCGTTGCCCGGCCGGGGGTCCCAGCCCAGGAGGAGGAGAAGGAGAAGCTGGAGGAGCAGGAGGAGACAGTCAGCACTATGACAACGCTCACATTGGAGCCGGTACCCCAGGGGCTGCATGTCTGCCAGGCATTCTCCAAGGCCAGGGAGAGATCAGCAGGTGAGCGCTCTTAGTTTTTCACAAACACAGGATGGGGGGGGGAGTGGGCACTGAGGGGCTGGGGTGCGATCGTTGCTCACCCTTCTCAGCCTGGCCCTTGTGCTGCAGTCCATGCATGTGGATGCATGTGCAGTGCCGGTTTGCACCATGCAGCCCCTGGAGGCCACCCCAGAGCATCCCCGGGCTCCTGCTCACAGGCTCTGGGGAGGCCAGACACACTTCTGACCAGCTGGAAGGAGGCTGGGGACAAGGGCACACAGACGCCCACACACAGACTCTGGAGTGCTGCACACGGCACACGGGCAGGCCTGCACGCTCAAGGCACCACCCACTCCTGGGGACAGTGCTGCCAGGTGCAGGTGTGTGTGCGGCCCCAATGGGAGCCCAGGCTACTCGAGGCCCTTCTCCCGAGCATGGGATCCCAGTGTGGCTGGACACTTGCCTTGCCTGCCTGTCCATGGGATGAGGGATGGAAGGGCAGGAAGCATGGGCCCTGGGGACTTCTGGTCCCCTGTGATGCAAGGGCCTCTGTGCAGGCCACACATGGCCTTGCTCCCGGGACATCACCATCCTCTGGCCCAAGGACTGTTCCTGTCAGCTCATTGATGAGGGCAAGGCCTCTGGGAAAGTGTCTCCAGGAGCGACTGGCCACCTCTCTTTATTCTCCCCAGCTAGACCAGCCATGACTGTGGGCCAATGCAAGGCCTCTGGGAAAGTGTCTCCAGGAGCGACTGGCCACCTCTCTTTATTCTCCCCAGCTAGACCAGCCCTGACTGTGGGCCAATTACCACCAGGTGAACCAGCCACCTGACCCTGGGGGAGCCACAGAGGGTCCAGGAGGACCTAATGAGGGAGCACATGTCCGTCCTCCGGGACATGCAGCAGATGCTCTCCAGAAGGTCCGTGATGATGCACAATTTTGGGCCCAGATGTGGACCAAGCTGGTGCAGCAGGGCCATAACATTTGTGCCACCTCTGGGAGATGATGGCCTACCCAGCTCCTGTTCTTGCCCCCCTCCCATGCCTGAAGCTGCCCCCCTCCCATACCTCCCTGCTCCCCCTGCCCTGTCAGCCCCTGACCCCCCTGCCATGCATGATCCACTCCACCCCCCCTACTCTCTTTGGCCCTCCACATCCTGAGGTCACTGAGGTCCCTGAACCTGAGGTGGAACTTCCAGCTGCACCATGCACCACTCAGCCCCACGTCTGAGCTTCTGCTCCAAGGTTCTCAGCCCCCCCTCCTCCTCAGTTACTTTTATTAAAAAAAATACAAAGTTTTTTTAAAAAACACAAAACTGATCTTTTATTGGGTCTCCAGGGAAAGGGGGAGAGAGGGGTTTCTTTGGGGAAGGCATAGAGAGGCAAAGCACAGGCCCCTAGTGGGGATTGGGTCTCCAGGGAAAGGGGGAGGGAGGGGTTTCTCTGGGGAAGGCATAGAGAGGCAAAGCACAGGCCCCTAGTGGGGAGGCCCAGGGGAGAGTTACTGGGGTCCTTCAGAGAAACTCTCCCTCAGTGCCTCCTGGATGTGCACCCCCACCTGATGGTCCTGCCGGATGGCAGCTGTGCGTTGTCTACATGGCGCCAAATATCAGGAAAACCTCTTCCTCAAAAAAAAATCAGATGAAGATATGCAAATGAGAGCACAATTTGCATATCTGCGTCCGAAAAAAACCAGCAATGTAGCCATAGCACCAGTTGTCAATCGTGTTGCTGTTTTTGAACATGGATTCTGAGACAAAACCCAGATTGAACCCAAGTGTCCCCATCTGCAATTCAATTATATTTGCAGCTTCTAGAAGAGCCATGTTTCCTGTGGAAATCCGTTCTAATGAATCTAACAACCAAATGCTCAAGAAACATGCAGAAGCATTGCAGAAATTTATTTATGGACAATCACGTCACGGAGCGTACCAGAAAGAATTACGGTGGAAGAGAGAATATAGTGCCCTTCTTAAAGCAGAAGATTCATTAACTTAATATAGGATGTGGGTGAAATTCCTCCTGTGCAAAGGGCTGGCAGCACAAGGTCTCAAAAGGCATATGTAGGACCTCAATAACACATAGGTCTCATGTTGACTCTATGCACAATATGCTGCTCTTGCTGTATGAGGCTAGAACAGAAAGCAGTGAACATTCCCCTTACTAAAAATATGCCATTCTTAGATCATAACATTTTTAGAGTGGGCATCGTGTCTATGTATGTATATTATAGAATCTATAATAGCAAGGACCAAGCCAGATAAGCACCTCCAGGGGCTATTATAAAATAGATTATTATAACATAGATATTAAATAAGAAGACCCTTCAGAAAACAAACCAGAACATCATTTAGCTGCAAAGGTTTTTAGTGTCAACATTTAATAGTTAAAGTTACAGCACTGTTTACAGCTATTCTCTGTAAGCCCCTGGCCTCTTGTTACAGAATTGGGAAAGTGAATGAGGCAGGAAATTACTAGACAAGAAAAGATGGTCTTCTAGCTAAAGGCTACCCTGGAGAATTTGATCCTATCCCTGTCTTGCTATTTGATACTGGAGAAGTGATTTAAACTAATTTTTTCACAGGTGGTTCTCATTTTCTGGGTGCCCAGTATGATTCATGGGGTCTGATTTGCAGAAGTGCTGAGCACCCATAACTACAGCTGAAGTCAGCAGGACCGTGCTTAGAAGGTATAATCCTGTGATGCTAAGTACTATGTAAAATCAGGTCCTAAGTATCACAAGCTAGGAACCCAAAGTTAGTGGATACCTTAAAATTTTGGCCTTACTCGCTCAGTTCCCCAGGTGTAAAGTGGGGCTATTAATCTGACAGGGGTGCTATGGAAATAAATTAATTCATGTTTGTCAAGTACCAATACTATAATTAAGAAAAGCACAGTCAATATACTGCCCTATTTGAGATATCACATAACAGCTGTGGATCTCTAGATTCACACTAAATAATGGCTTAATGTGCTTGCTACATTAAATCTTAATATTTACTTTTGACACATAGAAGTGAAAATAAAATGTTTAAAGTTGGAAAAAGATGTTGGTACTTGGCCCTCTTGTGCATTCAATGGATTTCTTCTGAAATAACTTGACCATATTTTTTGTTTAAGATTAGTAATTATAGAGATATCATTTACATTAAATTTGCAAAATATCTGTATGATTTGCCACGCCATTACACAGGTTCCTAACTCAATTAATTCATATGCCAGGGAGTGAGGGGAAAGTTTACAGTCTGCTGTATTCCTCACTCTGGATATGGAGCGCAGCGGGCAGACGAACCTGAACTTACCCCAGCTGGGGGAAATGCACCCCTCCCCAGGAGCGCAGTGGGCAGACAAACCTGAACTTGCCCCAGCTGGGGGAAATGCACCCCTCCCCTGGCTGTGGGGGCAGGGGCTGGAGCTGCAGCAGCTATGGAGAGGCATTTCTCAGCTGGCCCCAACCTGCTGCAGTGAGACAGGGCTGGGGTAGTCCCCTTTCCCGGGGCAGCCTGCATTCTGAACCCCTCATCTCACACCCACCCCGAACAGTGATTTAAATGAAGTAAATACATTTTCATTTTATTTTCCAAAACAACAAAAATTATTTGAGTTAGGGACCTGTGCAACACTGGCTAAATCTTCTAGTAGTTTATAACTGACAAGAAAAAGAACAAAATCATTCACTCACCCGATAGTAAAAGAATAAAAGGAGGCATAATTTTGCACATCTTCATTTCTTCTGAATTTCTAACCAGAGGAAAATACCCTGAAACACAAACCAAAAACTCCGTTCCTGCAAACCTGCAAGCTATGTGTGGCCCTCAGGCAACAGACTAACTCTCACTATCTCTCTGCCCCTCTGGCTTGCTTGAAGTTGTAATCAGCCAATAAGAAGCAGCAGAAATAAAAAAAAAATGGTCTGATAAAAATGGCTCAAACATTGTATAGGACGTAGAACTTTAAGAATGATCAGAAATCAATTTCATACAATGAATTTCAAAGTGAATTGTGCAGAGCCTAAGAAAGCTATAAAAGTAGCTGATATTTCTAATCTAACTCCCTAAGACCTTCTATGGATAGGTGTGGGGTGTCTGCCAAAATTGTGGCCGAGTTGTCCAGCTGGGCTGATTGAAAGACAGGGGCTCAGTCTGGGTTAGAATACAGCCGGTGCAGTGTCTTCAAATAAAAAACTCAGGCCATAAAGCAAACCCTTCCATTGAGATGTGTTCATGAGCTGTCAAGCCAACAAAAATGTTTGGAATTACATTTTCAAAAAAATTCAAACATGCATGTGCCCTCATTTCCCCCAAAACAGGGCTCTCTAGGGGCAAGGACATCCCATGCAGAACAAATGGGAAGAATCTAAATGTGTGAAAAACAGGAATTGCCCCTTCTACAAATTGTATCTGCAGAAACTAATGACAAGCCCAAAGACAAGGCAGTAAGTCTAGCCCAGCTATATGCTGCACGCACAGAATGCCATTTGATTTGGAGCACATATTTGGGGGTGCAGACAATTCAGAGAATATGAAATTTGGTCACTAGTACACTTGGTCTGGCTTGCTTCTGAATTTGAGCTCACATGCACTCCCAGTCATTTCCAGGTAGGTGAAGGTGGGAGTTTACAGTGCAAAAGAAATCTCAGCACCTCAGATGTAGATTCTGCTGTCTTCGTGCACAGCTGCATGACTGTTTGTGTGGGAATTTGATCCCTGTACTCAAGGGCTATAGCGTATCATGCATGATCCAGGACACTTCTGTTGAAGGGTCATCTCCAGTGTTCCCTCTAAGCTGCACAGCAGCACAACTTCACAGGTGATGAATCAGGTCTGCCCAGTCAGTCAGCTCCATGCAAGGAGCCCTGAGCCTCTGACTGGGCAGGGCTGATTCATCAGCTGTGCTGCCCCGCAGCTTAGAGGGAACGCTGGTCATCTTACCATCAGTGGCCTCCACTAAATATACAGAGCCTATAAAGATAACGAGGCTCTGCTGCACAATGGGAAGTGTGTTGGACTTCTAAGACCCCTGGAAAAGACAATCCCACTTCAAAGCATATCTCCTTTAAGAATAGCTACAACTTATAAATATCACCTGATTAAAATGGGAATAGGGGAGTCAATTGCCTGAAGCACGTGACTACCACCTAAAGATTAAAGAAGAAGTGTTCTGAACTCCGTCAATGAAAAGCTGGAGCCAGAGGAAAGACCTCCTTCTGGTAAGATTGGAACAAGGCTGACATAGGGATGCCTGCTGGGATTCAAACGGAGCCCCAAGAAGGACAGCTATGGAGACCAAGGGAAGAAGTCTGAGCACAGGGAAAGGGATAGGAATTATCCAAGAAGTAGGCCTCTCCAAGGTCTGGTCTACACTAGAATCTTATTCCGAAATAACCTTCCTCCCCAAATTCAAATTAGTAAGCGGTGCATCAATGCTCCCGAGCCTGTTATTCTGTAATAAGGGGTCATGGAATTCAAACTCTGGAGTGCTGCTTTTCATGAGAATAATGCTAATTCCAAACTTGTAAAGTCTGAAATAACATCAGCGTGAGCGCTCCAGTGCAGCTTTTTGAACTTATTGGCCTCCAGGAGGCCTCCCATAGCTCTCCAGAGTGTTTGCTGGGGCTCTGAGTCCAAGGTAGCCTCTCCACGTTAATGGAGCCTGCCTTGGACTAATTCTGATGCTTCCCCATACTGCAGACATGCACGTTCAAATCTGTTAAATTGGGAGTTCAGAATTCGAATTTAGTAATTTTGAAATAATTTCCTAGGGTAGACATGGCTCAACTGACACCATGGATTTCCCTTGCTCAGAAGGAATTGGAGAACTGAGGGAGCCAGAGCTTGAACCAGGGTCTATTGAAAGCCCCGAAGCAAATGGGCTTTGATGCTGGAAAGGTTGAGGGAATTGTATTTATTGTGTGAGAGCTTAATGATTCAGCCCATAAGAGACAGAAAGTTATTTTGTGGCTGTGTGATAGGAGAACCAAGAATGAGAGAAACTGAATTGGGGAGATTGTAGTGGAAGTGTCATGCTCTGGGTTTGCACCAGGCTCTCTGTTAGCATCTTACAAATGTCATAAGTCAACATAGTTATTCAGGGAAAAAAAATCTGGTGGAGTTCATACAGCTACAAACGTTCAGCGCTATGATTTTACAGAGGTCCCTGGGGGAAAGGATGAAATAAAAAGAACCACTTCCCCAGTATTCAGTGCCGTTAGACACACCTACCAGTAAAAAATGTGTGAGACAGGATTAGATGTTCCAAGAAATGTTCCTTCATGCCATTTCTGAAAATTACATATGTTGGAGATGCTTACTTGTGAGCGTCTGTTTTGGACTGATAAAGTGAGAGTGAATGAAACCAAACAGCTACAAAATGCAGAACAGAAAGCAGTTATGTATATATCAATGGTTATTTGGTGTCATAAAATGCTACCTTTACTGTATGCAATACTATTTAAGGACCTGGTTCTGCAAATAATCATTACTACTTACTGATGTGCAAAGTCCAGCTGAAGTCAGAACACAAGCTTGGAATTTCGTCTCCATCAACATTTGCAGGATGGCATTCTTTACATGTACAATTTCATAAGAGATTCATGTATCAGAGTTACATGGAAAATTGGAGCAAAAATGTTAATAATCATTACATTTCTTACACATGACCCTTTCAAATATATAAGGTACAAATATTTATGTAAATAACTGAACAAAGTGTGAGATGTATTAGGTGATGGGTCTAACCTTGTATTCCTGGCATACTTCAGCTCCTATGCAGTAAAACACTTGAACATGTACTTAATTTTAAGCACAAAATAAGCAGTCCTATTGTAATCAAAATGGCTAATTGTGGGTTAGACTGCAAGCCCCTTATTCTCACTGGTAAGAAGTTAGCCACACAAGTAGCCTCTAGTGCCTTCACTGGAATTATTCATGAGAGTAAATGTTCAGAATAACAGGATCACAAATAGATTGTGTGCCCAAAATTAAGCACATTCTTGTTATTTGTAGGATTTAGGGCCTTACAGATCCCTCTGATGTCCCTGGGCTTTTGTGACAGGCAGATAATACTCATAAACTTGGAAACAAAATACATAACTGAAATGTGCATTTAGGTGTAAAGAACACAAGACCCCCTTACATGAGTGTGTTGTCTAAGCTAAAAGCTCCAATTCTGAAAAGGAAATTGTGCGGAGGGACCCCGTGTTCCTATGAATCTCTTGCAGGAAAGGGATTTCAATAATGTGTAAATCCACCTCATGTCTTTATTGCTATTGTTTCCTCAAAAAGAACCCATGCCATTGAGTAGTGGAAAGTATCACCTCTGTCTGTGTTGTGCTAGTGTGTAATGATGGTTAATGAACAAACCTAGGTAACATGAATCTGTGGTCACAGCACTCTCTCATGATCAGAACCTCTTCCTGGGGGAAACAGGCTTCTCTAGCATATAAAATAACTATTGGCAGCATTCAACTGCTCTCTTGGTGTTGAGGCCATAGCTCCGCAGTGAGATATCTTGGCACATGGGTCTGTATTTTGTTAAATGTAGTGGAGGACACCCGACAGTCAGAACTCAACTGCCTGCTTCCAGAGAAAGGCGCCTTCTAAGCTGTGCAGTAGGACGGTCCCACAGCTGCTTAACGAGCCCAGCCCAACCAGGGGCTCAGGGCTCCACACACAGAGCTGCCAGGCTGGGGGAGGGGCACTTGTACCTTAGCGATAGCAGCGGCTCCCTGCTGAGGACAGAGCAGTGAGTCTCTCCCAGCCGATAGGGACACGTCCCCTCCCAAATGACTGGCAGAGACTCATCACTCAGCAGGGAGCTGCTACTGTAGCTGAGGGAGAAGTGCCCCTTCTCTAGCCAGGCAGCTGCATGCATGGAGCCCTGAGCCTCTGGCTGGGCAGGAGTTCATTAGGAAGCTGCAAGGCCATGCTACTGCACAGCTTAGAGGGAACCTTGATTTAGAGTTCTAGAATCTAGATCATTATAAGTAAATGAGCATTCTCCCCTTTTTAATAATAGTGGTCAGATGTTTCAGACTAAGGAACCTAATATTGGGAACAAAGTTTGAAAATGTGAGCCACAGTGTATGTATTGATGTTAAATATTAAGTACTAACATTAACACCAGGCATCGATTTCATTAGTATTTTTAAATACTTTCACTGTCAAATTCTGTTTAGACATAAGAAGTGAACATACAAATAACTAAGTAGTACATACATTGGGATCCACTTTCATTTTAGTATATTTGATTCAAGATAACTTCTGTGAAACCGGTATTCAAGACCACTCTTATTAGGAAACTTCCTGACTTAATAGACAGCTCCAAAACATCGACAGATCTAATGGGATAAGTACTGCACAGGTTTCATTAGAAGATCGCCACAAGTTATTTTTGTTGCCCAAGTGGTCTGTTAAAAAGGTTTTGCTATAGTTAACATAAATGACAATCAAATCATCCAGATAATTTCAAGTCTGCACTAAATCTATAGCTAGTTAATTTCCAACAGCTGCATGGTTTTAAAATTTATTACAGCTTAATTATTTCCTTTTTATGAATTTAGAAAACATCAAAATATAAGTGAAAAGAAAACAGAGAAATAAAATATGTATCCAAACACACGGGAATACAGGAAGACAAAAAGAAGTAAACTGCTCACTCACGTTTATACATTACAGAATTTCCAATTACAGTGCAGTGGTATCCACAAACTATTTCAACAACTATTTGTTGAGATAGTCTCTAGTGTAAGATGTTCATGCCCACTGTTCCATGACAAAAATCTTTCCTCGCAATGAGACATCATGGCCACAAGCACACGTTATTGGATAAACATAAGTTC